ACACGCCACCTTCATAACTTTATTTGTTTGTTGTTCCTACATACCACCTTCATAACTTAACTTGTCAAATTCTTTGTTAAACCCATTGTTGCTTGTCTCACTTTTATGTGAATCTCTTTATAATAAGCTTGTTCTTACGTGTGGTCATTTGCATTGATTTATAATTTTTATTACTTGTTTAATTTTTAATCTAGTCGGCAATTTACATTATCCCAAATTTTATATTACATTCACTATGCATGTCCATGAAGAATCTAATCCTCGACATAAGCATGTCCATGAAGAATCTAGGGATATTAGACAAAGAGTCAAAGTGGACGCTCCTACTTTTGATGGTAGTTTAGATTCTGTTGTTTTCTTAGATTGGTTAGATGAAGTGGATGACTATTTTGATTGATATGATATGTCTGACGACCATCAGGTTTGTTTTGTCAAAATGAAACTCGTTGGTTCGCCTAAGAGATATTGACAGAAAGTCCAACGAGACCAAGAGCACTTAGAGGGATAATCCATTACTTTATGGGCTGAGATGAAACAAAGATTGCGAGATAAATATCTCCCTAGTTACTATAAGCGCCAACTCTTGGACAAGTGGATGAACTTGCGTCAATTGACTTTGAGTGTGACTGATTACCTAGCTGGATTTGAAGAGCTCTTTCTGAGATGTGACATAAAGGAAGAGCCTTGGGTAACAGTTACAAAATTCATTAATGGTTTGAGACTTGAGATTAAGAGAGAGATTAATTTACACTCTCCTGAAATGGTTGAGGAAGCATATTATAAAGCCTTAGAGATTGAAAAATACCTTGAGCCACCCTTTTAGCGTCGCATGCCTCCTCAAACTATGGGAGGGAAAATATGCTATTCAGATGGGTGACAAGACCTCCTTACCAATCTCATAGAGATGTTTGGTCCCTATTCAGATGGGTGACTATTCAGATCATATATGGTGTGATGTCTTACCCATGGATGTCGTTCATGTTTTGTTAGGTCACCCATGACTTTTTGACCTAGATGTGACAAACTATGGGAGGGAAAATACCTATGTTTTTAAACATAAGGGGAAAACTATTAAGTTAAACCTGCAAAACTCTCAAAAGGTAATAATTCAAAGTATAGGTCATCTTCCCAAATAATTCACAAGAAAGACTTTCATATCTTGACCCATAGGGGATTTGAAAAAGAGAGAAAAGAGTCTGGTGTAGTGGTCGCTCTAGTTGTCAAAGAAGTTTTTCAGAGTCCTTTGGAATTTAAGGACGATTTTTTGCCTGAGGTTGATAGTCTATTGAGAGAGTTCCATAATGTGATCCTTGAGGAACTACCCGATGAGTTGCCACCAATGAGAGATGTTCAGCATACTATTGACTTAGTTCTAAGATCTCAGTTGCCTAATCTACCCCATTATTGTATGAATCCCACTGAGCGTGCTAAACTCCAAAGGCAAGTAGAGGGACTTTTGCAAAAGGGGTCTGTTTGTCATAGTCTTAGTCCATGTGTTGTCCATATTTTGTTAACCCTTAAGAAAGATAGCTCTTGGAGAATGTGTGTTGATAACCGTGTCATTAACAAAATTACAGTCAAGTATCGATTTCCTGTACCGAGACTTAAAGATATGCTTGACCTTTTGGTTGGTGCACTTTTGTTCTTCAAAATTGATTTGCGTAGTGGTTATCATCAAATCCGAATTAGACTAGGAGATGAATGAAAAATCACCTTTAAAACCTAGGATGGACTTTATGAGTGGTTGGTCATACCTTTTGGATTGTCTAATGCACCTAGTACATTTATGAGGGTTATGACTCAGATATTGCGTCCTTTCCTAGGGAAATTTGTGGTAGTCTATTTTGATGACATCTTGATATATAGTCGGTCTAAAGAAGAACACTTAGATCATCTTCGACAGATTTTGTGAACATTACGGGTGGAAAGATTCTATGCGAACCTTAAGAAGTGCTCTTTTATACAAACTCAACTGCTTTTCCTTGGATTTGTTATTTTTGCGCATGGTATTGCAGCTGACCCAGAGAAAATTAGTGCTATTAGGAATTGGCCAGAGCCAAGAACAATTTTTGAAGTTCGAAGCTTTCATGGCTTGACCACCTTCTATAGACGTTTTATTAAGGGATTTAGTTCCATTATGGCTTCCATCACAGAGTGCATGAAAAAAGGGGAGTTTCAATGGACTCTTGCTGTAACTAGAGCCTTTCAAGAATTTAAACACAAGCTGATAGAGGCACCCATCCTTTGGCACCCAAATTTTTCTAAAGTGTTTGAGGTTGCCCGTGATACATCTGGTATAGGGATAGGTAGAGTTTTGAGTCAAGAAGGTCATCTTATTGCTTACTTCAGCGAAAAGCTTAATGAAGCTAAACAACGATACTCTATATATGACAAAGAGTTCTACGTTGTTGTACAAGCTCTCCGCCATTGGAGGTATTATTTAATGCCAAATGAGTTTGTTATATTCTGATCATCAATCATTGAAATACCTTCATTCCCAGAGAAAATTGAGTGTTAGGCACATTAGGTGGGTTGAGCTCCTTCAGGAGTATATTTTTATTCTTCACAACCGAGCGGGCATTGAAAACAAGCCTACGGATGCTATTAGCCGTGTAGTTGCTATTTTAGTTGTTGTTTTATAGACTATGAGTGTTCATGTGATCGACTTTGATAGGATTAGAGATGAGTATCCCTCTTGTCCTGACTTTGGTATCATTTTTCAGGATGTTCAAGTTGGTAACCGTCATTAGTACATTGATTTCCTCCTTAGAGATTGTTACTTGTTTAGAGGGTCGCGCTTATGTATTTCCTGTACTTCACTTAGGGATTTCCTGATTTGGGAAATACATGCAGGAGGTCTGGCAGGCCACTTTGTTAGGGATAAGACATTTGCAATTGTTGATGATAGGTTTTATTGGCCCATTTTGAGGCGTGACATTATTAAGATAGTGTCACAGTGTTGTACTTTTTAGTTAGCAGAGACTAAGAAACAAAACACTGGGTTGTACACACTATTACCAATTCCACATACACCATGGAAAGACCTTAGTATAGACTTTGTGTTGGGATTGCCTAAAACAGCCCGTAATTATTATTCCATTCTAGTTGTCGTGGATTGGTTTTCTAAGATGGCCTATTTCATTCCTTGCACTAAGTCTACTGATGCCTTACATATAGCAAAGTTATTTTTTTGAGAGGTCGTTTGACTACATGAATTTCTTATTTCCATTGTGTCTGATAGGGATGTCAACTTTGTGAGTTATTTTTGAAAGACACTATGGAAACTCTTTGGGACTAGTCTTAAGTTTTCTTCTGTTTTTCATCCCCAAACTGATGGTCAAACTGAGTTTGTCAATCATAGATTAGGAGATTTTCTTAGGTGTCTAGTGAGTGAGAAGATACGAAATTGGGATTTGTTGTTGCCTACTGTTGAATTTGCCTATAACAACTTCGTCAACAGGTCGATTGGTAGATTCCCTTTTGAGATTGTTTATGGCCATTCCCCTAGACAACCTATTGACTTATTATCTTTACCTCCTGATTCCCGCCCTTCACACTCAGTTGAAACTTTTGCCCAGCATATTCATGATTTGCATACTGACATAAGATAGAAAATTACATTAAGTAATGAGAATTATAACTTGGCTACAAATGTTTACCGTAGGAATAAAGAATTTATTGTGAGAGATTATGTCATGGTTCGTGTGCATCCTGAACATTCCCTTAAAAATTCTTTCAAAAAGTTACATGCTCGAGCTACTGGCCTTTTTCGTAGCTCGACTTACCTAATGCATATCTCCTTGACTTACCTTCGAATATGAGTATTAGTTTTATTTTCAATGTGGAGGACTTGTTTCCTTATCATGGTACTTTTGAGCCTCCCATGTTGCCCGCAGGTGTTCCTATAGGTGGAGTTGCTTCGTCATCAGCATCACCTACAGTTCCTATTCTTCCACCGTTTTCAGCACAACTGTATGACCAGATTGCAGATGTACTTGACGATCAGATTGTGGACTCCTCAAATTGAGTATATCGTCGTTATCTTATTCGGTGGAGAGATCATCTAGAGACTGATGCGTCATGGATTACTGAGGAGGAGTTTCGTCGGTTTGACCCTGATCTTCTAGAGCATTATCATGATCGTATTTCTCTGGAGGCGAGTTCTTTTCAGCCAGGGGAAATGATAGGAATTGGATTATATTTTGTTATAATAGGCGCAGACGTAGAGATTAAGAGTTATTTGTCATTTTATTTTTCAGAGACTTAGTTGTAATTTTGATTATTTATTTATTTTAAGGTTTGTGATTTTCTTATATATATAGGATTTGTGAACTCCTTATATATATAGAGGATACATATTTGTTGTGGGATACTTTGATTTTTATTAACGATTGGTATTGAATATTTTGCTTCCTTCTCAAATTCTCTATTTTTTCTCATCTCCTTCTTCTTCTCTTCTCATCCATTTCTTCTTCCCTTTCTCATCCCTAATTCTTCCCTAATACGATCTACATCACTTATCTATTTATTTATTTAGTTAACTTGGATAAGTTGGCGATGCATCTAGAAATGTGAACTATTTTGTTAAGGGCTCTTTCAAACTTTATGTTTGCTTGTATCACCAAAAAGGTTGAGTTGTTTGTTTTAAGGATAATTATGGGTGACAGTCTTTTGGTTAAGTTTGCCATAGGCACGCTGTGGATGTTATGTGCTCTTGAAAGTTGTACTAATCTAATAGGAAGATACTTCCAACTTTGCTGATTTCTCGTTGGATATTTTGGGAAGATTGGTATCGGGGTATTTTTTGGAAAGGAGGGCATGGGAGGACACTCCTCACCATCTTAGAGGTCACTATTATCCTCCTTGACTGAAATGTGAGGTGTTGTTAGCTGTTATTAGCGTTTTTTTTTTAAAGTGAGAGTATTGTTCTTTTTGTATTTCTTTTTCACTTTTTCTTCTATGTGGAATGGCTCATCTTTGGGGTGTGTGTGTTTAAGTAAATGACGGTGTTAGCTTCTTGTGTAAGTAATTGAGATTACCACTTTCACTTATGCTATTGATGATTAGAAACCTTGACAAATGAATAATATAGTCCTGTGACATGTGATCCACATATGAAGTCCGGCTCAATACGAGCTCTTGGAATCGGAATAAGTTGCGCATCACATCACGAAATCTTGAAAACCCTGGCTTCAGTTCTAGTTGCCTCCCTTTTGAACATTTTAATGGTTTAGCTTTAACACCTTTATTTCATACTGTAAAGAGCTGTACACTAAATCAATAGAATTTTTGTCTTTTAATAAGTTCCTTTTTTGGTGCTTGTATGGTTTTCTGATCTTAAACTCCAAGTGACTACCTAGTTTAGTTCCTTGCATTTGCATATTTAAACAAATTGGTTATGATGACCTTGAAAACAATTGTGAATTTTCCTTCTCTCAGTATATAATTTATTTTGACATCCTAATGATACCAATAATATATGTGCTGCATCAAACCCCTTGGATGGAACAGAATACCTTAAGGAAAGTGAAGAATAAGAGATGGAATACATCTGCAATTGTACCATTCATACCTTCCATCCTTGTGTTCAATTGTTGCTGAATAAATCATTCGACAATATACTTTGCAGAAATTCTATATATTCATCTTGCCTTTCTTTGCTAGTTATGTTACTTACCAGCTATGGTCTTTTTGATGAGGAGTTCTTTCTCATGACAGGCAGCTGCTGATGCTAAGTACTATGGGAATGTAGAGGTTTACAATATTTTAAAGGCCCGTGGAGCCAAAATTCCGGTACATATTAACCTATATCCTGATTTCATTGAAAGTTTCTAGCTTTTTGGGAATCGTCATTGAAGTTTTTTCCATGTTCCTAGAAAACCAGAAAGACACCAATGGCTGTTGCAAATCCTCGTGAAGTTCCAGAATATGAGCTCAATCCGCTAGAGCTTCAGGTCCGAAAAAGTGATGGTATATCAAAGGCATGTTCTATTTCCCTTCATCATAAGTTGATTGGCTCTGTGTTTGGAAGATCATAATGTTCCCTAAGTATAGTGTTTCTGCATTTTCTGTGTGTGCTTGTGGATAATTTCCTGTTATTCTGTAGTGAAGAAAGAAAACTAAAATTCTTTCTCATAAAGGACCTGATTCTTTTTTGTTCATTGGTAAGTAATGCTCTTTTTCAGGAGGCACAGTGCTTGAGCTGGCAGTTGTTTTTGATTCTGCATTGTTTTTCCATTGCGGTCAAGTGTTACAAGGGCTTTCTTTAAAGATGGAATTTTTGTTTTTTTGTTATTGTTGGTGCTGGTGGTGGGGGCAGTGGGTGAAACTGTGACATTTTCCCATAATGTCAGTTTCTGAATGAGTTACTTGATGTGTACATTTAGAATTATCCTTAGATTAGATGATTACGATTATTCATTATATTTAAGAAACTCTGGAAGTTACTGCATTTATGTCTTGCTAATTGAGTTGCTTTATGGTGATTGAGCGCGTTATTATTCATTCAAAGCAGGGCTTTGTGAAGTCATGTTGCCTGTTGCACTGGCAACTTTATCTGCTTGTGCTCATATACGCATAGGATGCTTGTAAAACCGCATATATACCATTCCTAGAAGAGGAAATGTATAGGGTGAAAGAACTTGTTGAGCTTTACAAAATTCAAACAGCTTATGTCAACTACTTGACTTGTGTCACTGTCACAGACTCATATCACAACAGGAATTTTTACTCAATTAGGATTAAAGCATTTGTTAATGAGCAACCTAGGAAGTTCTCGTGGTAAGCATCTATATAATTTCCAAGAACTATGTTGAGGAATTTTGCCCAACTCGTCAATTGAGGGTTTTGGGAATTCATTCTATAAGCTGTTTTGCCACAAAGGTCAATCTCAGTGGTAAACTATGACAGGATAAAGCAGAAGAAAACGTTCTGATCCAAAACAATCTCCAACCCTTGTGTTTTATTAAGTTACGTATTTTAACCCTGTCAATTTGGCCCACACTCTCATGCTAAAGAATAGGTCTAAATGCATTGCTTAACCATGTAAGCAAGTTATGCCCAACCCGGCCAAAAGTATAAGCCCATCATCAATCCTGACCCGCTGCCACCTGGCTCAAATATCCTTCCTCTCAATCCATGTAATGTTGTTTTGAATAGCATTTGAACCATTATAGTGTACTAATCAAAGTATGAATTTGTGCTAGGTGTTTTGCCATGGATTTTATCTATGGAGGCAGGTAGCATTTTGATGGCTCAAGATTTTAAACTTAAGTTATTTGCTCCAGTCCAATGCCCTATTTTGTTGCTTGATCCATTTACTTTGTTTCTGTATTTCTGTTTCATCTTGTGGTTGTGGCTTACACTAAGGGACCTTTGAAACCTTATGCTAGTACTAGAGTGATTCTATTGATATTTATTGCTTCCAGCACTCCCCACAGGAAAAAAGAAATTAAAAATGAGAACAAAAAAAAAAAAAAACAAAAGAATTGTGAGCTGTCTGACCTATTTTATCGGTGCCTTCTGAAACTGTTTTATACATTTATGGGTCAAATAAGATGTTTATTTTGACAGGGAACATATCAAGTTGCTAAATGGAATGGCACAAAAGTTTATGTGAAGATACTTGACAAGGACAGCTATTCGGACCCTGAGAGCATGTATGTGCTATAACTACCTCTTCCCTCAACTATTTGTTTTTAGATTATTTCAGAGAAATTAATACACGTCTCCTCAACTCTCTCTCTCTCGTGTGAATGTTACCTTTTCAGTGATTATGTAGACTCTTTAGACACAACCATTCTCCTATTAAATCCTTTTTTGACATTGAAAAAACCTCAAACCGATGCTTGTCAAATCTGCAATTTTTCTTTTGAAAAACAATTGGCATTCTGTAACAATGCTATTTCACTACCTTGTTCCTTTCTTTGAGCAAGTTGATATCTATTTGATAGTCATAATGTATAGTCTAATTTTTAATACCTTGCAATTTCTTCGTAATTTACTGGTCCTATCGCATTTTATTCAACATCTTATCTTGGATATCAAGTGTTTCATGAGCATGTCATTTCATGATCACTTGCCATTATGCTTTGAAGCTCGACTGCATATGTTTCTAACACATGTTCAAATTGTGCGAGCTTAACGTGAATATACTTTGTCTATGTATATCTATGCTTCTGCATTGTACATTCTAAAAATTTCCAAACATTCTTTTTTACAAATGAAGGGACCATTGTTACATCGATACGAGTAACAATTTTGTGATGTTTTAAACAGTGATGGAGGATTTTACTCCAAACAAGTTCTAGGGATAGGTTTTGCTAAGAAATTAAGCAGACAAGCTCGGATTTGGGTAATTAAGGTCAGCAGGAGCCAAAGAGGACCGAGGGTCCATGGGCTGCTGTTTTGATGGTTTAATTTTTTGATTAAGTAGAAGATAATTAGCTGTGTTGTGTAAAATCTTAGAGAACGGAGATAAGAAGAAGAGAAAAGAAAGAAGATGAAGGAGCATTCAAGAAAGCAATCACAATAACTCTCAATCAGGCTGCAATTCTCAGTTCATTAGTCACGAAGTCAAGAGCTTATATCAAGCCCCAATTTAGATTTTAACTGCTTATTAAAATCAAACCCAAGCTCTTAAATGCTGAAACTTGATTTCTAATTGATCAACTGAAGATAAAAAATGAAAGTAACCAAAGTTGTTCACTGGTATAATAGTATGTGAACTTTAACCCACCGCGGTAATATGAATAATAACTCGCCAGGCTACTAGCGGTAGTGTGTGTTACGGAACTGCTACAGTAATTTCCCATAGTTATCCCCCTACTTCAACTCTTGGAAGTACATTATAGCCCTATATATGACTCCAACTGTATCTTCTATTCAGTTTGGGTACATCTTGGTACAGCTCTTGTGTACTTCACTTTTGCCTCTGTTTTTGCAGTGATGTGGATTCCCCATGAGTTGCTGTCTTGGTGACTAAGAGAACCACAGGATTTAGAGTGATAACTTCACAAAAATCTTGAGGAAAGATGAAGGATATTAACTTGTATTCTAACTGACTAGTCTGTGATGCATTAGGTGGTTTGATTTCCGATTTAGTATTTTCCAAGTAAAATTTTCAATGGAGTATAGACTGTTTGAATCTTCAAAACTTTTACTGCAGTACATACTTTGCTCCTTTCAGACTTGCTTCTTAGTCCCTATCATAGTCCTCCTTGATCTATAATATTCTATCATATTATTGTGTCTATAGTTTTGATATGTAACTCCCGTATTATGGTATACATGCAGAAATGCGTTCAAACATGAGTTAACTTTGTTAGAAAGGGTCCGGCATCCTAATGTGGTCCAGTTTGTTGGAGCTGTCACCCAAAATGTACCTATGATGATCGTTTCAGAGTACCCTCCAAAAGTAAGTCTCTCTCTTTCTCTCTTCCCCCCACCCTCCCTCGTTTTCCTGCATGTTTGTTTTTGCAAGAATGTCATAATTAGGATTGTGGTAGAAGGTAAAGAACTACAAGCAATGTGTTAAATCAAATATATATTGGAGGGGATGGGGAGTGAGGAGATCATCATACCTAGGCAACCAATTTTAGAAGGGATGTTTGCAGTCATTATATGGAGGACATTTGTTGCTGCGTGCAGATGCCGATCCCATCAATATGCAATCTTCTGGTTGGTTGTTTGTTTATTTGAGAATCTGGAAACCTGAAGAGGCTGCCTCAAATTTTCATCTTTCTGGGTTTTGCTGTATACATGTTTCTTTTGAAATATTTTCTTTCTCGGTTTAGTTGAATTTGATCAACGTGGAAGAGTTGATGTATCTAGCTTAAATGGAAGAAAATAATGCATTGAATCTATATAATTCATACACTCCATTTATCACCAAAGTTTTGAGATTGCTGATATTGATGCTAATTTTTCAGGGTGACCTTGGAAGCTATCTTCAAAAGAAAGGGCGTTTATCTCCGTCCAAAGCTCTAAGATTCGCCCTTGATATAGCTAGGCAAGTGCAATTTTGCTGGAATAATATACAAAAATGTTTTACGAAGGTCATGATGTAAATCAATAATTTCCTCACTCTCTATGCATTTCAATGTCAACTTCTTTGGGATGTTCATTATCTATTTTCTGCAATTATCTGTTTGCTAATTTTACTTTGTACCATATGTCTATTCGTATATTCTTTGAAACAGTTTCACTTCCATCTGAACATTTTTGTCATTAGTGTCAATCTTGCTTGTGTATTGACATCATGGTATATTTCTTGGAATCAGGGGCATGAATTATCTTCATGAATGTAAACCGGATCCAATCATTCATTGTGATTTGAAGCCAAAGTAAGGCTAGTAAATGCTTTAATATGTAATTGTAAATTGAGTTTTTCTTGTAGTCATTGAGATGTGCAATGTTTTTAATATTTGAAATTTTGATAAGGTGCCAGAAATATTTTGCTGGATTGTGGAGGTCAGCTGAAGGTTGCAGGATTTGGTGTAATTAGGTTGTCAATAATTTCACCCGACAAAGCAAAACTAGTGCAGCCTGGGGCAATTGATTGCTTGAGTAAGTTGTTATGTTTGTCAAATCTAATTGCCTCTATTGTATTGACAACGAATATAATGCTTACTAGTATCTGACAGACATATGATTATGGAATGTATACAATTATTCCCTGTCAACCCTGTTAAGTAATTTGATGTCCTAAATGTCAAAATTTTGAAGTATTAAATTTCATCTCAAAAATGAAACTTTGGAGTATGTTTTAAGGTGTATTTATATTGGTTGAGAAAAAGTAATAAAAAAATTTATACTAGGAGACTTCAAATAATCTGGAACCCTCAATTTAGTGGTGGATGAATTGGACCCCAGGTTAATTTCCCTTGGCCATCTCTTAGATAAGTAGACAAAATAATGACAGATGAGTATCTTTAATGTACACAACATCGTCACATATGGAGAGAAACAATAAAAGGAAAAAAAGCCCAAGGTCTTGAGTGGAATTAAATTTGTTGTAGGCAATAAGTTTAGGGTTGTTGTTATGTTGCAGAGAGAGTTGATCTTGAAAAACAATGTCCTTTGCATTTTCTTTGATTTGTTTCACTAAAGTAGTCACTGTCTGTTATCATGATCCCAATACCTCCCAAGGAGAATCTTGAATTGGATCCTCCTCCGTTTGGGCTTTCGCTCAAAGTGGATGATATTGTAAAAACTATTTCAATTTGGCAATACCACAAAATCATCATCTGTAATCACAATATTATCTACAAAAAAATAGAATAAGGATATTACCTGCACCAGTCTGTAAAATGAAATACCAAATGATCTTTTTTGCATCTCTGAAGACCAAAATTTATCACTGCCTTTGAAAAAATTTCAAATCACGCACACTAAGACTGTTTCAGCCCATACAAGGCTTTCTTTAGTTTGCACACACTACCCTTATACTTCCCCTGAGCAACAAACTCAAGTGGTTGTTCCATGTAAACCTCTTTTGCTAGAATATCATGTTGAAAAACTTTTTTAACATTTAATTGAAATAAGAGTCAGTCAAGATTAGTAGCAAGTGAAATCAAAACCCAGACACCCAGACAGAAGAAATTTTAGCAATCGGAAAAAAGTTCTCCACATAGTCAATGTTGCCATAAGTTTGGGTATATCCTTAGACTACCAAACGATTTATGAGCTGATTCACTGAGCCATCTGGAAGAAATTTAATGATATATATCCAACAACACCTAATAATCTGCATACCCAGAGGGCGTGGGACAAGATCCCAAGTATGATTATGATGAAGAACATTCAGCTCTTTCTCCACAACTGTCCACCAACCCGAATCCAATAAGGCATTTGCTAAATTCTTAGGAACAGATATTTTGGATAACTGAGAAGTAAAATAGGAAGAAGAAGGATATAACAAAATGAGAAGAAACAGTTATTAATAGGATGGTTAGTAACACAAGAACGAGTGCCTTTATGGAAAGCAATAAGTAGAAAATCAAACACATCTGAAGAGGTTGGATCCAAAGACGACGAGGAAGCTGGTGATGGAGCCATATAGTAGATGACCTTGACCGACAAGTGTAAACACGAAAGGGTGTGGAAGGATGTGAATTCAAAGTCATGAACAATTGAGGAACAAAGGATAAGGGAATTGAAATTGGAATTAGAAACGGGTTAGACACTGAAGACACCTTAATAGGGCTCAAAAGGTATAGGGGGAGCATAAAAATAAGGTGTAGATTCCCAAAAGGTAACATCTGCATTGACTAAATACCTACGAAGAGGAGGGCTATAACAACGTAGCAGTTCTGGTTATGAGAGTAATCAAGAAAGATGCACTTAGTAGTTTTCGGATCAAGCTTTACTAAAACTAGGACTAAGATTATGGACATAGGAGACACCCAAACACCTTTGGAGGAAGAGAAAATAAAGGAGAGTCAGGAAAAAGGACAGAATGAGGAGAATGTTCCTTGTAAGACTGTAGAGGACATACGATTGATAAGATGGCAAGAAGTCAAGATAATATCGGCCCAAAAACGGTTAGGAACATGCATATCAAATAATGGTACTTGAGCGACATCTAATAAGTAACGATTCTTGCGTTCAGCCACACCATTTTGTTGTGGTTTGTAAGTACAAGAAGTTTGATGCAAGATGCCTTTTTCATCAAAATAATCTTAAAAAGGAATTAGCAGTCTACTCTTTGGCATTATCAAATCGTAAAATACAAATATTATAGCTAAATTGTCTTAATTTTCTTGTGAAACAATTAAAAGATAGAAAACAATTATGAGTGGAATTTCATTAAAAATAACAAAGTTATATGAGAATAATCATCAGCAAAGGTCATAAAATAACGATATCCATTAATAGAAGAATGTGTGCGGGGGTCCCATACATCAGAATAAACTAATTCAAAAGGGGTAGATACAAGATTATCTATCCTAGATTTGAACGTCACACGATGGTACTTACTAAGTTTGACAAGCTTCACAAAACAAAAAGGATACATGACTATGGCTAGGAACTTGAGACTTCAAAACTGGAAGGGATGGATTGCCTAGATGGCAATGCCGTTGAAGAGGGGATAGTGAGGTATAAGGTTCTAGGAGGAGGCTCGAAGTCAAGATAATAGAAGCCACTTGATTCATGCATCATACCAATCATTTTCTTTGTCTTGAGATCCTAAAAGACCCAAATTGAGGGATAAAACGTTACTAATCACTAAAGAGAGTGAGTGATCTTACTAATGGATAGCAAACTAAAAAAATTGAGAAATAAATAAAACAGAAGATTGGAGAGGCTGAGTTGCATAGAACCCAAACTTGAGACCTAAGAGGATGATTAATTAGCAAAAATAATAAAGCGAGATGAGGCTATAGGGTGAAAATTAATTAAAGTGACTAGACGAGCTAGTCATATGATTGGAAGCTTCAAAATCAATAATCCATGGACTAAAAGTGGAAGAGAGTAAACAAGTAGATAGCATACCTAATTGAGCCAAAGTAGCAGTGGAGGAAGACATGGACTGTTTCTAAGACAGGAACTAATTATACTCGTCTCGAGATATAGTAATGAGATCAGGAAAGAGTGACTGAGTGGATCTAGAACGGAGAACCACGAGGCGAATATCCTCTTGAAAAGAAGCTTGATGAGCCGAAACAAATTATTTACCATGCAAGCGCAACAATAATCCACAATGGATTATTACAACTACAATGAGTACACTTACCACCTCCTTTACCACCACGACTTCCACGAGAATTACTAGATCCACCATGATTGTTATGGCCTCCTCTGCCACCATGACCTCCACGTGAATCATTAGTGCTACCCAGAGAGACAACTAAAGCAGAACGATCGTCATTATGCTCAATAAGGGGAGAGGAGCTACGGTCTGATAGTGTAGCTCGCTGAAGTCAAGAAAATACATCTGGGAGAGAGGGAAGTTTAGGACTTCCCAAAAATCTGTTTATGGATAGGCTCATACTTAGATTTCAACTCAACTAAGAACCGAACATCAAATTCCTCACGTTAATGCTGCATACGAGGAATATCAAACGAAATGGGTTGATACATCCTAAGTTCCCAACAAGTCCCCATAACATTGGAGAAATACTCTTCAAGGCTCAAAGTACCTTACTCAAGGCTAAAATATTGCTTGCACTCCTCGAAATCCCTCAAAATCATCTCTGAGTGCCATCAAACTTTATACTAACTATTGATCCTCTCTACATTTACAATGTAGCTGATTAGTACTCTGCAGGCTCCATAAGAGTTAGCTGATCCCAAAACCTAGTCATAATAGAGTAGAATTCCTGTATGCTCCTGTCATCTTTACATTCAACTCGAATCTTATGTTCAAGTTAATACCTCTTTGCATTATTGGACTGCACAAAAGACATGTCCAAATACTCCTAAATTTCTTTGGCTGTGTTAAGTTTTGCCAGGTGAACAACAATGGTCTGATCTACTGTTTTGTTAATCCAAGTAATCATTTTGGCTTTGTTGATGTCCCAATTGTTTTTCAATTCAACATATTTTTGCTTTTGTATCTGTTGGGGCTTGCACAACACCAGTGATGGAACTCCACATATATTTACCCAACAAAAAATTCTTCAAAAAGTGCTCTATCAGACATTTAAGTGATCGCACTCAATATAGTCTCCTGCAAGCTGTAATAGTTTTCTTCTCAAGTTCAGTCAAAATTCTCTAACCAATCCGTTTTTCCATATGTGCTCTGAAAGGCCAAATGATCTTGGAATCCAAGAGAAATCTTGTATTGATGTTAAATTATAATGAATTTTTCTGCCACTTCTATCTTGATAGTTAATAGTCTTTATAAACCAGTTACTTCCTAATAGGATTCTTACTTTTGGTGTTGTGATTGATGTATGAGTCTTATAGCATTCTCCAAAGCAGTCGCCATCTTCAACGTCGATTAAGTGCTTCCTATGGCTAGTTTGCTAGTATTTTCCTCTAGTATACGAGCTTCATGATTTAATTTCTCCAAATCATATTTCATAGAAGTCTTTGAAACATTTAAGAAGCGCTTACTTATTGATGTCTCTTTGTTAATCGTAGGTTTGCATGTGGCACCTGAGGTTTATAAAGATGAAATATTTGACAGAAGCGTTGATGTATACTCTTTCGGTCTTATTCTGTATGAGGTAAATTCTTATAATCTTCTTGTACATGTTTGGGGCAATGAATAACCATGCTACCATTTAAGTCATAGGCTTTTGCGGAAAAAAAGTCTGTCTCAAAATCTTTTTTGATTGGATCCAGATGATGGAGGGAATTCAACCACTTCACCCCAAGTCTCCAGAAGATGCTGCTAAACTGATGTGTTCAGAAGGAAAGAGACCAACATTCAAGGCAAAATCTAAAAATTGCCCCCCAGAACTAAAAGAGTAAGTTATTTTTCTGTGATGCAACAGCTTCTTGCTGTTAATTTATCATACTTGAGATGCAGCGTTGCCCACCAGATATTTACTGTTCTAGGAAGTTCCTTTGCCAAATTACCAAGTTCATCAACCACGAAATAGTTCTCGGAAACTCAGTACTCCCAAAATGTTGCTTAACTGGAGGTCTTTATGAATACAGGATCTGGTTACTACATGAAGTGGTGGTTTTTTTGTTTGAAAAGAAAGAGGGAGAGAGAAGGGGGGGGGGGGGGGTTGTTTTGTGGACAAATCAGATCTCCCAGATACTTTCCAAAGCGATATGTTTAGTCAGAAAAAATGAATGTAATTCTCGTCTGGATCCTTTCACTTTTCATGAAGTGTGGAGAATTATATTTTTGAAAAACTGCACAAGATACCAAAGGAATTAATAACTATTTTGTCTATAGATTTTATTTTGGATATCTGTAATAAAAAAAGTTCATGATAAGCGCAGGAAATTTATTGCATTTGTAGGTTGTGGTTTATTAAGATTGTTATTATAACCAGAGTTTCTTTGCTTTTGTCTTATGTAGATTTCGATGGATTAATAGTTTTCCGAATTAAAGTTAGAAAGCTCCCTTCATTTTATTTATCAATAATAGTTTTGTTTCCTATCCAAAAAGGAAGAAGTTAGAAAGCTGTTCTTATGTTTTTGTTTGTTACCTTTACTACTAGGTTAATTGAGGAATGTTGGGATCCAGAATATGTTGTCAGGCCGACATTCACTGAGATCATTGTACGGTTGGACAAAATTGTTTCGAACTGCTCCAAACATGGATGGTGGAAAGATACTTTCAAGCTGCCTTGGTATGCTTCTTTTACTGAATATCACATTATCCTTCTTTGATCTTTATTTTTGGTTAATCCGCATGGAAGATTCTTGACAAGCTACAAACAGGGAGAAAATTTAAGGCTTTTTAGATGTACTTGTTGTACTTTCATCTTTTTTTCCCGTAGTTGGCTTTGTACGGTTCTGCTAAACAACATATGGATTTTTTTGGGAAATCTTTTCTTTTTCAAATTTCATTAGATACGGACAAGAAAAAGGGAAAAAAGAACTTCGCATATCCTAAACTGACGCTTTCTTAGATGATGCATAGAGGCATGATAAGTATGAAAGTATCAATCATAATGACATGCGAGTAGCAATGAAAAGGGGTTTGTTGTTTTATAGTGACCAGTGATGGATATATATATGGCTGTTGTAAAGTAATGTGGCTTTAGTGTACATTGCTTGTTGACATCAAAGGCCTGTTGTGGTTGTTCTAACCAGTAACTAATGGAATTGTTGTACAGGAAATAAGAAAGGCATTCACTTTGATGAGAGATTGAAAAAGATTTGGATCTGTCGTCTCCATATACTCGAGAATTTTGGGAGCTTCACATTGTGCTTTTGTGATGAGATATGTAATAAAGGAATGCGGATCAGATCGCGAATCTAAATAAGGAAATGTCCATGGTTTCAGGAGTTATGAGCTTCATGTTGTGCTTTAGTGAATGAGCTAAATAAGAAGGATTCTGGGCCAAAGTAATGGGGTCTAAACATAATCTGTTTCGTCCTTTGTTCTTCTCTATTTCCATTAGGATCTGGAACAATTACCTTTTTATGTGTAACATGTGAAAGTTTTTTTTTCCCCCCCAGTTTTTTACTACATACATTAGAGGTGGCAAATGGATGGGTTGGATTGGTTATGAGTCGAGTTAAATTGGGTTGAATCACTTCACCCATAAAATGATAAAATTTTGTGAAAATTGAAGGTGAATCCCCCTAAATGGACTTATAATGACTTGAGTTATGGAAAGAAACTTATTTGGGGGGTAAGTCTATGTTTAAACTTATATGTATGTATTTAAGTCCACTTATTTTTTAAATCTCAAAATTATCCCGAACAGTGTTAGTTTTGTCCAGTTATGAAAAATCATAAAAATTAGATTATTAAGGTATATATGAAAATCTTTAATTGAGTTGTATATGGAAACCGTTTATTAAATATTATGATAATTAACGAAAGTTTTATATGAAAGTTATATATTTTGATAGTTATATATGGTAGCTTAATGTATGAAAGAATCGTTGGCCTATTAAGGCAAAATCAAACCACAAAATTTTCTTAATAATTCAAAATTTTCTTAACATTAGTGTTACTTTAGTGACATTAATGTTACTATAATGACACGAATGTTACAATAGTGATACGAATGCGATTGTTTTTCTTAAAATACTCAATACCCAAAATAAAAAATTTCACCATTTAAAATAGTAACACAAACTCAATCCCAATTTTAATTTTACTTTTCAAGTTTACTGTGGAATCCATTGACAAAGTTATAGTTGATTCTTTACATTTAAAACATCTTCACAACTTTGGGATATGTGATTTTACATAAAAGTTGATGTTTATTGTAGGGTTTTAAAGAACTTTTACATAATATATAGTTTAAATTGTTCGTTTTTTATTTTTGCATTCCTAATTTAAAAATTGAGATTCATTATTACTAAATTAAAATGTTATATAATTCGATTTTATTGATTTCTTTGTTGTGCAAGACATTCGAAATACCTTGGTTGTGTCTGTGAAATAGATCATGTTACTGCGTGATAACTAGAAAATGGATTTCAAAATTTTTAATGCATTGATGTTTTTTATTGGTGTTGAGTATCCTAATTCAACTATCAACGGTGTGTTATTACTAGAAATTTTGTAAATTTTTAATTTGTGGATCGTATTTTCACTATAATCTTTCAAAATTGATGTTACTGTGAAACCCTATTGCCTTGTATTTTGTAAAATTCGATGTGTTACTGAGCACAAACTTTTGATGTTACTATAAAAA